AAATACAAAATTAAAAAAAAAAAGAAGAAAACATTTGAACCCAGTACATTCATGATTCATAGTGAACCAAAAAAAAAAAAAAAAAAATCAATCTTTCCAAAGCCCTATGAACTTATACCCAGAATTCTAAGCCACGCACATTTAACGCACAACGTCACAATTGCATATACAGACGGAGACGAAGAGGGTAGAGGAAGTTATTAACAATTTGTATTTGGCGATGAACTCGGGAGAGGTGAGATACAACTCCCTCTCCTCTCTTTCCTCATCCGAAACCTTTTCAATCTTCAACAGTAACACTAACAATAAATTGAAGCAAATTTGCTAAATTAATTGAAACAAAACCTTACGCAGACACAAAGAATCGAGGGAAAGAGAAATTGTACGAAAAAACCAAAGGGAAAGGAAAAGCGAAAAGAAAAGGGTTAAGAAATTGACCTCGGCCTTGAGGTCTTCGATCTCATGCTTCAGCTCCTCCTCCACTGTGTCGGCCGCCACAACGAATCCTTCTTCTTCTTTGTTGTATTCAACTTCTTCCTCTTCATTGTTCGTTTAACAAAAATCCGTAACACCCCGAAAATTTTAGAATAAAAATTTATTTGTTCTATATATTATATTTTATTATTTTNGCCTTATCATATGTAATGCCCCAAAACTTTAGAATAAAAATTTATTTGGGCAATATATTATATTTTATTATTTTGAAAGTTGAGGGACTAAAGTGAAATATGTTTTAAATTCTTTTGTTTTGGGTTTAAATATTTGAATTTTGATAGAGTGGTGATAAATATATCAATATTGTACTCGTTGGATAACTCGTATTTAATCGTGTATTTAAGCCCAAGTTATTTCAATTCAAAGAAACGTATTTAATATGCATTTTTTTATTACTTAATAATGCGCCTTTTAAGATAATTAGCAAAAGAATATAATATTTTATTATCTAATCATGTTTCTCTTAATTTTTGAAAAGGATTTAATCATATCTAAACTATGTTTCTTCCAATTGATATCCACTGGTGTTACACGTGAATTGTATATAATTTTTGTTATATAAGCCATGTTTTCTCTTATCTTTAAAATGATTTGATCTATCTAAATTTTATTTCCAACCAATTATTATAACAAATTCATATTTTTTAAGGTGGCCGTGTATGATAGGAAATTGATGGATATTTGAAATTTAAATCCAAACAAGTTCTTATCAAATTGGATAGATACAATTTTTCATCACAATTATACTATGACTCAACTACTATTTTTTTTTTACTATAAATAGTGTGCCATGTCCCACGATTCACTACCACAGAATTTTACACAACAGTTTTCATATAAAGCAGCTGCAAATTTTAAGTATATTTTTATTATCAAAAG